AAAAAAAAAAAAAGTGCAGATATTTTCAGGTGCCCGGCGTCCGCGCCATATGGAAAAGCTGGTCCGATTCCAGACCGGTTGAATTCCTATTCCTGACCTTGTCTTATATGTGGATATCTTTTTTTATATCGAGTCTTACCATAAAAAACTTTGTTGTTTTTTTTTCTTTTCTTTTCTTTTCAATGGGATCTTATGACTAATATACTTGTAATTTAACTTCTTATCTGCCATAGATATAGTGCAATCTCGTGCTATTGCATTCGTAACAGTGGGTGATTCGCGAGAAGAGTTCAGTATTGCGATTTTCGCGCATTCCCAGATGTCGATATTTCGGGCCAAGACGGGAAACGGGACGAAGGAAATGCAATAGTTGGTAACCCGCGAAAAGCTGGATAGAAATGAGTTCTGTACAAGCTAATAGCAACGACTCCAAGGAGAAGATTATGTTCTTACATTTTTACCATCCCAACCAACCCTCCACCCCTCAAATCCGAATTCCTCCCCGCCATAGTTTGTCTGAGGCCCGAACCTTGTCGCCCACCCCATACCCCCGCTCTCAGATCGCGTCGGCTAGCATCTTGATCTTAGATTTCGCGTACAATTCCTCGTTTAGCTGTTTGAGCTGATCTTATCTTGACTCGCGCGCCATGGACTGCCTTTTTGGCCTTGTGGGGGACGGCTTTGCGCTGGTCGTAGCGGACACGTCAGCAAACCAGTCGATCGTGATTAAGAAAACGGATGAGGATAAGATCATGATTCTTGACGAGACGAAATTGCTTGCCACGTCAGGCGAGGCAGGCGACAGGTGAGATTTCGGCAAGGGAGATTCGCGTCTTGTATTGGTCATTGAAACCACAGACTCTCTCTCCGTTCTTTCTCGGGATCCTTATTTTCGTCAACGCTTGGAGGTTATGTGAAATGAATAGTATCATACGGCGCCCTAGGTATCAGAAGAAGGGTCCGATCGGTCGTGTCCGATAACCTCCAGACCTCGCGTTTCGCCTTCTTAGATCTGGATTTTTGAGTCTCCTACCGTTTAGTGAATTTCAGTGAAATTTATCAGTTCAAAACTGGATTTCTCCCTGAAACCTTAGTCCGATGGCGCTTTATCTTGTCGGATCGTTGTGTGAAAGCAAGCGCGAAGAAGACTTACGTCACACCTGGAGAATTTCACTTCAGACGCACTTGGCTTGGAAAGATCTGACCGCCCACTTCATCTGGTCCCGTGCTCTCTTTTTCGCAATCTATGGCCATCTTCTCAATCCGTCGCCGTTTCTCTCCTTCCCACTCGCTCCCACCGATACTTACCTTCGTTTCCCTCTAGTTTCAGTTCTCCCCTGTCCTCCGCACACCCTCCACTCTTCTCCCCCTTTCCCCCCTCCTCCACCTCCCCACCCCTTTCTCTCCTGGGTCTCCCATACACTCTCATGTGAACCTACACCTATCAGGACCACACTACCCCTGGTGATCAATACAAGCTGACCCGTGGACTTGAATTAGCTCCTCTCTACCCTTGCTCTCTTTCTCTCTCTCGTCGTGGACTCGACTTTGCTACTCGCCTCTCGTATTTCTCTCTACTGTCTCCTCCCCAGCTGCTTTGGTCGTAACGTCCCATTTCCGTGTCCATACCTGCCTCTGTTTTTTCCCATCGCCACCATCACCACCACCACCACCACCACCACCACCACCACCACCACACCACTAACTACCTCCACCACCACCACCACCACCACCACCACCACCACCACCACCACCACCACCACCACCACCACCACCACCACCACCACCACCACCACCACCACCACCACCACCACCACCACCACCACCACCACCACCACCACCCCCACCCCCACCACCCCCACCACCCACACCCCCACCCCCACCCTCACCAGGGTGCAATTCTCGGAGCTGATTCAGAAGAACATTCACCTGTACGCCTTCCGCAACAGCATCGCGCTCTCCACCTCCGCTGCTGCCAACTTCACTCGCCTCGAGCTCGCCACCGCTCTACGCTCACGGGTTAGCACCCTACTTGGTTTTTCGCCTCCTAACTTTGAGAAATATTCGCCAAGCATGACCCTTCCCTGTCGTTCCTTTTTTAATCATACATTGATGTACTTATTTTTACACGGAGATATGAGCCACATGTGTATTCTCTCTCAGATCCTTCTATGGCCTGAGCCTTTACAGATGCGTATTTTTCCTGCTTTTACTGTTGTTCCCATTTCAATCCGGTGTTCTGTACTGTTTCTGCATTGCCGAGACTACTCGCTCACAGCAGGATTTGGAACTTGGTGTTGCTCTGACTCTCGTGTCACTGTGTATTCTCTTGACCTTTCTCCCCGCTACAGACACGTCGCATGTGGTTGTGGATCATTGCAGGGTTGCTGCGTCATGCACTCATCAGTTTTTTCACTCTTTCCTCTCCGTTCTCCCTTGGCTATGCCTGTGATGTGCACACATACAAAGAAGCGCACATTCTCATACACTTGTCGCATACCCATAACACATCCCCATCCCCATCCCCATCCACTTACACTGATTCTTTCACGTGATCGCATGCATAATCCAGGGTTCATATCAGACCAACATGCTGTTGGCGGGATTCGATGAGGGAGTGGGACCATCTCTCTACTACCTTGACTACCTCGCCACGCTGCACAAAGTGAAGCACACTGCCATCGGCTACTGTACGTGACTGGAAGCTGATGATATCTTTCTCTCTCTTTTTTTCTTTCTCTCCCTTCTACCTCTCATTATGTTCCTAAAAACATCCCCCACACCGTTCTGTTTGCTCGCACCTGTTTCTCTTCTGAGCACGTCACCGCGTTCCTTTACATGAATTAACGCATTTTGATGCAACTCTTATTCCCCACGCCTCGCTATCACCCCTGCGTACTTTCTCATCCACACCCTTGAATTCCCACCGTTCCGCTTCCAACTTACCTCTCTCTCTTCCCCACCTCTCCTGCAGGCGCCTACTTCGTGCTCTCCATCTTTGACAATAACTGCAAGGACACCATGTCCCTGCATGAGGCTCTAGAGGTGGTGGACTGTTGAGGCGTCTCAAACAGTGTTCTACCTCCTACTTGCATCTCCCTCTCTATCCCTCCCTTCCTTCTCCACCCTTTCCGTGCAGGCGCCTACTTCGTGCTCTCCATCTTTGACAAGTACTACAAGGACAACAAGTCTCTGGACGAGGCGCTAGAGGTGGTGGACCGCTGCACGACCTTAAATGCCGTTCCACTTGCAGCTTGCCCACCTCTTTCGCTCCCTCCCTTCTCCACCTGCAGGCGCCTACTTCGTGCTCTCCATCTTTGACAAGTACTACAAGGACAACATGACCCTGGACGAGGCTCTAGAGGTGGTGGATCGCTGCATTGCCGAGGTGCGCATGCGCCTGCTCGTCTCGCCGCCCAACTTCCTGGTCAAGATTGTCGACAAGGACGGAGCCAGGGAGCTGCTGTGGAGGAGAACGGTCCCGCCCCCTCCGGGGCCTGAGACTGCTGCTGCGGGTGCTTCTGCTGCTGGGGGTGCTGTGGAGGTTAGCGCGCAATGATGGCATACCGTGTGTTAGAGGGTGGTCTAAATAGCCTCTGTTTCCCCTTTCCCCTTATACCCCTCTGCCCCGCCCTTCTCCCTACCGCGGACTCCTTTCCCTTTCTCCTTTCCGTGAGACGGTTTGTTTACTGACGATTGATAGTCCTTACACAAGGCGTTACCTTGCCAGAACATGTATAGTGGTGTACCATTTTTCACAAGATTGCTACATCGTTACATATGGCATCACTTTCAATAATGATTCACCACTAGGCAACAGTAGAGAAGCAGGAAGCATAGGAGGTTGAGTATCTCTCCATCTCCCACCTGCCTCTTCAATGTAGTAATAGATAAACGCATACCGTATTTGCTCAAACACCTGTTTTTTTCTGTATAGCATAAGTTAATTTAACCATTGTTGCTGTATTTTTTTTTAAACGACAGTTTTAACTAAGTCGCCAGGAGAGGTGTAGTTTCTCCATTCCCAGGACCAGCATTCCCCGCATAGAGCGCCGTTCCCCTGGGCCGTGGCTTCGCGCTTCGCCATGGACATCGCCATACTTTCGTCGCGAATCCCGCACGGGCGATTAACCGCACCCCGCTCCTTTACATTGTTTACAACCGGCGGCGCGGTCTCAGACATCGTCAGATTCAATCATTTTCCCTCACCTCACACGAACTCATTCCAGACAAGGTCTGTTACAGATGCCAATGCTCCCCGCGCATATGCACGTCCGGGGGGAAGCGCGGGGAGGAGGCGCACGGCGGCGGCAGCCTGGGGCCGCGGAGGCGGAGGCGGAAGCGGAAGGCTGCAGGACGACCCGCTGCTGAACGATCTGGCGGAGTTCGTGCTGGAAACGGCGGAGAACATTGCGGTTCAGGTGATTCCTGAGGCGTGCGGAGTGGTTGGCATGGGTGGGGTTCGGTTGGGAGGGATTTGACTTCTGAGTAGACTCAAAAGTCCACTCGATCTGGTGGAATTCGTGCTGGAAACGGCGAAGAACGTCGCGATCCAGGTGAGAGTGCGCGCGGAGTGGGTTGGCATGAGGCGGAGAACGATGATCGCGATCCAGGTGATTTCTCAGGCACCCCAAAGAGAATTCGTGCTGGAAACGGTGGAGAACATCGCGATCCAGGCGAGCGCGCGTGCGCAGAGTTGGTTGGGATGGGTGGGGTTCGGCTGGGAGGGATTCGAGTTGTTCCTAGTCGATAATAATCTTGTGGGAGTGGGTGGGGACTGTGCGAGGAAGTTACATCTGGAAGTACCCCTCCACCCCTCCACCTCTCACCTCTCCCCCTCTCCCCCTCCCTCCCTCTCCCCCTCTCCCCTCTCCCCCTCACCCCCTCTCCCCCTCTCCCCCTCACCCCCTCTCCCCCTCCTCCCTCTCTCCTTCCCGCCCTCCATCCCTCCCTGTTTCTCACTGCCACTCTTCCTGTGTCTATGTGTTGTGAATGAGCAGACTGGAGACATCATTCGCAAGCGGATCAAGCAAATTAAGATGGTAAGCATGCACGCTCTCTCTCCCCTCAGCACGCTCTCTCTCCCCTCAGCACACTCACCCTCCCCTCCACACACCCTCCCTCCCCTCTTTTCTCTCTCCCTCCCCTCTGCCCACTCTCCCTCCCCTCTGCACCCTCCTCACTCCCCTCCACATGCTCTCCGGCTTCGTCCTACATAGATGTCACAGGAAACCAGCTATTCACTGCTTTTCCTCTCCTCCTCTCTTTGCCAAATCGTCGTCCTGGTTGCCTCGTCGCTCGCATTACCACTCGCAAGCCAGGTCGTTTTGAGCTGATTCAATAGTGGTGATGCGAGCAACAACAGTGTGCTCAACCTGTGCCCTGTGCCGTGCTGTCTGTGTGTGCTGTGCTGTGCTGTGTGGGGAATGGGGAGTGGAGAGGGGGAGTGGCGGAGGGATGAAGGGTGGGGTGGGCTTTGGAAGGAGGGGATGGTCTTATGAGTGTGTGATTTTGTGTGTGTGTGTGTGTGTGTGTGCGTGTGTGTGTGTGTGTGTGTGTGTGTGTGTGTGTGTACGTGTGTGTGTGTGTGTGTGTGTGTGTGTGTATGTGTACATGCACGTGCGTGCGTGTGCACGCGATTTTGACTACGTGCATGCGTGCATGCGGTGCATGGGTGAATACAGGTAGAAGTGGAGCGCAAGGAGTATGCGTGCGACTTGGCTTTTGAGTCGACTCTAAAGTCACTATGTGTGCACGCGATTTTGACTGTGTGCATGGGTGAATGCAGGTGGAAGTGGAGCGCAAGGAGTATGCGTGCGACTTGGTGACAGAGGTGGACAAGGAGTGCGAGCGATACATCACAAGCACCGTCAATGTGAGTTTGTCACAGAGCCCCCTCAAAGCACAGCACGTGTGTGTGCATGTGACGCATGCGACTTGGGGGGACAGAGGTGGATAAGGAGTGAGTGCGAGCGATACATCACAAGCATTGTGAACGTGGGTTGCCTCGTCCCAACCCAAAACGCAGGGTCTGCTCTGCAATTCACTTCATTCAACACAGCAGCACTTTCCAACGGAGTGGGAGAGTGTGTCTCATCACATCACAGGTACCGTCTGCACTTGAGTCCGGATTGGAGTTGCATGTGACACAGCCCTTTCTTGCTTTGCCCTGCAAACGGGGTGTGGGCACTGGACAGTGCATCGCTGACAGCGGCACTGTTCATATGCTTGTGACTTAGAAGTTGCCTCAAAGCACGTAGTCTGCACGTGCGATACAGCACGCACGGCACTCTCTTGCAGCAGCCGTTGAACGGAGTGGCGAGCGATACATCACAGGCACCATGCGCGTGAGCTCGGGTTGGAGTTTTGAGGCGCCTTTTGAGGCGCCTTCTGAGCCGCATTCCCCACCCCCCCCACCATTCCAGGCACCTTCCATCTGCACCACATCACAGAGGAGGAGACAGCTAAAGAGGAGGACATGGTGTGGCAGAGGGAAGGTGGCCTGGCAGGGTGGCAGAGCTGCTGCTGCAACTGCTATGGGTGCTGTTGGTTCTCAAGCCTTTTCAAACTCCTCCCCCTGCCCCTCCCTATCCCCTTCCGCCACACCACTTCTTCTCCCCTTTTTTCCCCTCCAACATTTCCCCCCTCCCCTCCCAGGCCACCTTCCCTCTGCATCGCATTATAGGCGAGGAGACAGCCACACAGGAGGACATAGCGTGGCTGGAGCAGGGAGCTGACCCTGCTGCTGCTCCCGCTGCTGCTGCTGGTGATGGTGGTGATGGCAGTGCTGCTGCCGCCACTGCTGCTGCTGCTACCTTTCACCTCTTAAAAACCAAACCTGTCAACCTTCCCCCCTCTTCCTTCCCCTTCCCCCACTCCCCCTCCCCTCTTTTCCTCCCCCTCCCCCCTCCCAGGCCACCTTCCCTCTGCATCGCATCATAGGCGAGGAGACAGCCACAGGGGAGGACATGGCGTGGCTGGAGCAGGGAGCTGACCCTGCTGCTGCTCCTGGTGGTGATGGCAGTGCTGCCGCTGCTGCAATGAACGAGTGGGTGTGGATTGTGGACCCTATCGACGGCACACTCAACTTTGTGAGTTGGCGAAGGGTGGGCCTTATACTACATTGAGGCAACTTTTGGGACGTCTCAAAAATTGGCAGTGCTGCTGTTGCTGCCGCAGCTGCAATGAACGAGTGGGTGTGGATCGTCGACCCAATTGACGGCACACTCAACTTTGTGAATTGGGGAAGAGGACATCACAATGATCAGAAAAAAGAAGGGGTTTGATTGAAACACTGCAATCTCTTTGAGGCAGGCATGCTGCTGTGCTCCCGCTGCTCCTGCCACTGCTCCCGCTGCTCCTGCCGCTGCTGCTGCTGCTGCTGCCGCTGCTCCTGCTGCTGCTGCCGCTGCTGCTGCTGCTCCTGCCGCTGCTGCTGCTGCTGCTGCCGCTGCTGCCGCTGCTGCTGCCGCTGCTGCTGCTGCTCCTGCCGCTGCTGCTGCTGCTGCTGCCGCTGCTGCCGCTGCTCTTGCCGCCTCTGCTGCTGCTCCTGACGCTGCTGCAATGAATGAGCGGGTGTGGATCATCGACCCAATCGACGGCACACTCAACTTTGTGAGCTAGGAAGGAGGAGCTTTCTTGGCTCAGAATACACTTTCAAAATAGTGGGTCGGATAGTTTCACTGCAGTTCTTGAGGGGCACATGGTGCGACAGAAGTAAGCTAAGAAGTGAGTGCAAGGAAGCAAAAAAGATTTTTTTTTTGTAATTTTATTTTTTTTCTGGGTGTCAGACAGACAGGCAGATACAGTAGCACGGTAGGATGGCATGTGCGATCCTGCATGGGCTAGCGATGGGGTCTGTCATCGTGCCGTCATAAAGGATAACGAATTGCTTGGTGTATCAATCCTCACGGTCTCGAAAAGTGTACAATAGGATTGGTACTCTTTTTTTTGTGTCTAACCCCCTCCCGTCCGCCTGTCTGTGCAGGTCGGGGAGACCCCCTTGTGTTCCGTGTTTCTGGGTGTGTTTTGAGTCGACCCTCAACTTCCCCCCTTCCCCCCTCCCCCCTCCCCCCTCCCCGCTCCCCGCTCCCCGCTCCCCTTCCCCCCTCCCTCTTCCTCCGTGCAGGTGGGTGAGATCCCTATGTGCGCCGTGTCGCTGGGTGGCCCGGCAGGGCTGCATGCAGGTGGGGTGAGACCCGCTGTGCACCTTCCTTATCAAGCCCCCCCCCCTGCCCTTCTCCCCCCTCTCCCTATCCGTGCACGTGGGGGAGATCTCTATGTGCACTGTGTCGCTGGGTGGCCCAGCAGGGCTGCCTGGAGGTGGGGTGAGACCCCGCTGTGCACCTTCATAATCAAGCCCCCCCCCCCCCCCCCCCCCCCCCCTCCCCCTATCCGTGCAGGTGGGGGAGATCCCTATGTGCGCCGTGTCGCTGGGTGTGGCCAGGCAGGGCCGCCTGGAGGTGGGAGTGGTGTACAACCCCTTTACCAACGAGCTCTTCAGCTGCCGCCGTGGGGAAGGTGAGTGAGGTTGTTGGGGAAGTTGGTGAGTGTAGCATGGGGTGTGGTGCGTGGGGGGTAGGAGTGGCGTGGCAGGGCTGCATGGAGGTGGGAGTGGTGTACAACCCCTTTAACAACGAGCTATTCAGCGGCCGCCGTGGGGAAGGTGGGACTGTTGGGGAAGTTGGTGAGTGTAGCATGGGGCGTGGTGCTGGGTGCGTGGGGGGTATAAGTGGCCTGTGGGGGGCGTTTGGAGGTGGGAGTGGTGTACAACCCTTTTCAATAACAAGCTCTTCAGCTGCCGCGGAGGGGAAGGTGAGTGAGAGGCTTCCGTGTGTCAATGAGGTGTGTGGGCATTGCTTGGTGAGTCGACTCAAAAAGCTGCCAAAGGGGAAGGTTAGGGGCTGCAAGTGTGCAACCCCCCTCTTCATTGTTCCAACAACCACCTCTCGTTGTTCCGTGCCTCTCTGCATTCATTCCTCTCCTCTGTCTCCTTTCACTTATGATAGGCTGTGCTTATGACGTCTCCTCTCCCCTCCGCTCCTCTGCTCCTCCATTCTCCGCCTCCCTAATTCTCTACTCTCTTCCCCCCTCCCCTCCTCTCCTCTCCTCTCTTCTACGCTCCGCTCCTGTGTTCTCCAACCGCGTTGCCATTTAAACGAGCCCACTGATATTGGTTGGTGATGACTTTTGAGACATATCAAAAGTACTCTCCTACTTTTTAGGCGCCTAAAAAAAAAAGCCCACTGATATTGGTTATGACTTTTGAGACGTCTCAAAAGTCCTCTCCTCCCTGGCCCCCCCCCCGTCGTCTCCTCTCTTCACTTCCGCGCAGGTGCATATTTGAACGGCAACCGCATTACCATTCCAAACGAGCCTATTGCTATTGGTGATGCTGCCATTGCTGTGGGCTTTCCATCCAACGTACGTGCACATGCACATGCATCACAGCAACGTTTCTTCAAACCATCCTTCGCTTCATTCTTACCCCACCCACCCACCTGGAAGCAACCACACCCCACACCTTTTGCTTCGCACCTTCATCGCTACTTGTTCCTGTTGTTTTGTACGGTTCGGCATGGTTTTGCTCTCCTCTTTCCTTCTCTTACAGGACATTGCATCCTGTATGTACCCGTGTTAAATCCTCAGTGATAGAATTCAAGAATGGTTGAGTAATGAGCCAAGGAGGCTCTATAGTACAAGCATGCAAGGAAGAGAGGTTGGAAGAAGGTGCAACCCTATTGGCCACTAAGTTGGCCAATGGGTGAGTTGCCTTGTGGAGTAGGGAACCCCACAATGTTGCTAGCTTGTGATTGGTTGGCCTTAGGACCAAATGTTGGCAAGTGCCAACCAAGGACCAAGACCAAACCAAATCTTGACCCAACCACAAAGTGTGGTTGGAGTGTACACCCAACCCCCCAATGGCTTAAAGAGCTACACCTATTCTAGCCTATGTATGTTGTATATATAAGATACATTTACAACACAACCCCCCAACATGCATAAGGCTAGAAAACTGGTGGCGGGGTGAGCCCAAGGAGACGCAACAGGAAGGAGTGGGACGCTAGGGGAAGAGCTTTGGTGAAGATGTCGGCGAGGTTGGCTGCCGAGTCGATTTTGCCAAGACGAATGTGGCCGCCCTAACGAGATCGCGAATGAAGAAGTAGCGAAGCTCAATATGTTTTGAGCGCCCATGATACACAGCGTCCTTGGTGAGGTGGATGGTGCTGGCGTTGTCACACCAGATGGTGGGACAGCGTTGGGGGGCTCCGAGCTCATCAAGGAGGAAGGTGAGCCAGCGTGCTTCTTGCGCGGCCATGGTCGCAGCATAGAGCTCTGCTTCGCAGGAGGAGAGGGCGACGGCAGAGGAGCGTGTGGACCGCCAGCTGATGAGACCGCTGCCGAGGGAGAAGCCATAGCCCTGAGAGGACCGCCGATCCGGTCGAGAATCAGCCCAGGAAGAGTCGCTGTAGCCGTTGAGGTGTGGTGGGGAAGGGCCGCCAAGAGTGAGGACATAGTCCTTGGTGCCACGAATGTAGCGAAGGACACGCTTGGCGGCCTGCCAGTGCTCTTCCGTGTGCTTGCCAGCGCCAACGAACCGAGCGAGGACGCTGATGGGGTAGGCAAGATCGGGGCGAGTGGAAACCATGGCGTACATGAGAGAGCCGATGAGTTCCGGATAAGGATGGGAGGAGGGAGAGGAGGGTGGGGAGAGGTGGTGCCCAACCGAGAGGGGAGTGGGCTGGGGGTTGCCGCGCGCCATGTCAAACCGGTCCAAGACCTGCTGGAGGTAGTGACCCTGAGAGATTTAGATGGTGCGGGCGGAGCGGTCGCGAGTGATGGTCATGCCGAGGTAGTTCTGCAGCTCTCCCAGGTCTTTGCACTTGAGACGGCTGCCCAGCTCCGCCTTGACAGTCTCGAGCTCGGCAAGGTCGGCGGTGAGGAGGATCATGTCGTCAACATAGACGAGGATGTAGAAGGGGGAGGGAGAGGTGCGGAGGAAGAGGCTGGCGTCAGAGCGGGAGGTGCGAAAGCCAAGCTCAGCAAGGGTGGCAGCAAGCTTGGCATGCCACTCCCTGGGTGCCTGACGGAGCCCGTACACGGGTCGGCGCAGCTGCCAGACGGAGTCGGCGGGGAAGGGGAGGTGGAAGCCGTCTGGGCGCTCCATGTAAATGAGTTCACGTAGTACGCCTTGCAGGAAGGCGTTGGAGACATCCATCGAGTGGATCTCCATGTTGAGGCGAGCGGCGAGGTCGAGTACAGCGCGAACGGTAGCAGGTTTGGCGGTGGGGGAGAAGGTGTCGAAGAAGTCAAAACCATACCGCTGCGTGAAGCCCTTGGCGCAATACCGGGCCTTGTAGACGGGCGGTTCTCCTGGTAGCTGTTTGACGCGAAACACCCACTTCCCCTTTACCACGTTCGTAGAGGAGGGAGGGCGAGGGACATCAACGAAGGAGGAGTTGGCGATAAATGCCTCGAGCTCCTTGATGATGGCGGCAAGCCAGAGCGGGGCGTCGGGGCAAGCCATGGCCTCCTCGTACGTGGTTGGGACGAAGATGGAGGGAGCAGAGGAAAAGGCGAAGACTGGTGTTCCAGACAGGTCAAAGGTGATGGGGAGGAGGGAGGGGTCGGAAAGGTGGAGGTCAAGGAACTCCTCATGGGAGTCCTCAGAGAGGGAGGTGTGGAAGGCGCGGATAACCGCTGGGGCCGCTGCTCGTGCCGCTGCTGGTGCCGCTGCTGGTGCCGCTGCTGGTGCCGCTGCTGGTGCTGCTGTGGAGGCCGCTGCTGCCGCTGCACTTGCCGCTGCTGGTGCCGCTGCTGCTGCTGCACCTGCCGCTGCTGGTGCCGCTGCAATGGCTGCTGCTGGAGGTGCTGCTACCGAGGATGGGGAGGTGGTCGAGGAGGCTGGTGCAGGAGAGGCGTGGTGTAAGACAGCCTGGAAGAAGTGGTGAAGGAGGGGAGAAAGAGGGGGAAGGGAAGAGGTAGAGAGGGTAACAGGGGGCGGTGCACCAAGGATACTGTCACATGACCTGGTGTAAGGATACCGGGTGAGTATGGTGCTGGGAGTGGGGGAGGGAGGTGGTTGGGAGGGAGGGGGAGGGGCACCGGGGGAGGAGTGGGCGGGGGAGACAGGGGAAGATAGAGGGTCCGGGTCAAAGATGTCACCAGACGAGGGAGGGGCACCGTGGGACTGGGAGGGCGGAGGGGGAGGGGGTGGGAGGATGGGGGGAGGAGGGAGGAGAGGGGGAGGTGTGGTGTCAGACCAGACAAGGGGACGGGTCAGAGGTGGGAGTGGGTCAGTGGACGGGGGAGAGGAATAGTACGGGGTGGACTCGTCAAAGACGACATCTCTGCTGCGAATTAGTCGACCGGAAGGGGGGTGGAGGAAAAGGTAGTCGGGGGAGGAGGGGTTATGACCAAGGAAGACGCAAGGAAGGGTACGAGGGGCAAGCTTTCCAAGGGAGCGGGATCGGTCAGACGGGTGAATGAGGACATAGGCCTTTGAGCCCCAGACTCGATAAGGGGAGACATCGGGTTTGTCCTTTGTCCATAGCTCAGTGGGGGTGGTGGAGGGGAGGAGGGGGTGAGGGTAGAGGTTAGTAAGGAGGGCGGCATGAAGGAGGGCGTAGCCCCACAGAGAAGGGGGGCATGAGGCGTGGACAAGAAGACACCGAGCCGTTTTGGTGATCTCCCGAACACGGCTCTCAGCGACACCGTTCTGCTGTGGGGAGTGAGGGAGGGTGTGAGTCTGGAGAATGCCGCGGGACTGGCAGTAGGAGGAAATTTGGGTATTAAGGAACTCACCACCACCATCAGAGTGGAGGCGACGAACAGGGCGGCCAAAGTGGGTGTTGGCTTGCTCGAGCCAAGCAATGATCGCGGTCGGGGCATCCGCCTTCGTCCGAAGGAGAGAGACGGACGAGTACCGACTGTGGTCATCGACGAGCACGAGGAGGTAGCGATGGCCTTGGCGAGTGGGGGAAGGGTTAGGGCCCCAGAGGTCCATGTGAACAAGATCAAGTGGCTGAGCAGCAGCGGAGGGGGAGCTCCGGTGCGGCTGCTGCTTGAGCTTGCTTTGAACACAGACGACGCAAGGGGGGGCAGGGGACTTTGGGAGGGGAGGGAGGGAAGAGGGGAGACCGTGGAGGAGACCGGAGGATACAGAGGAGCGCAGAGTGGCGAAGTTGGGGTGACCTAGCCTGTGATGGAGGAGGATGGCAGGGTGGGAGAGGGAGCGACATGAGCAGTCAGAGTCAGGGGGGCGGGGGGGGACGGGTGGGTTAGTGGAGGGGAGGGGAGGGGGGGGGGGGGAGAGGGGGGGGGAGGCAACTTGGAAGGTGAGGGGGCGAGGAACTCGAAGGGTGTATAGACGGGTGCGGGGACAGTAAGGAATACGGGCGAGGAAACGACCTGTGGAGGTGTGGTAGAGATCACAATGGTTAGCACCACCTGGGGTGAGAGTGGTGATCATGGATTGTTGGAGGGACCTTTGGGAGAGGAGGTTGGTGCGAAGGGAGGGAATGTGAAGACCTGTGACAGTACCTGAGGGAAAGAGAGGACAGGGAAGGGTGGAGGTGTTGTGACAGGGGATGGAAAAGCTGCTATCAGCGCCAAGGAGGGACGTGGATGTGGGAAGAGGATTGAGTTTGCCGGCATCTCGAAAGACATTATCAGTGGCTCCACTGTCCAAGACGAACTCAAGGGTGGAGGAGGGTGAGGCGGAATACTGAATTGAGGTTTCATTAATAGCAGGGGCATACATAGGAGATGCAACAGAAGGAGGCTGACTAAGGAGACCAACAAAGCCAGAGGAGGGAAAGGGGGTCACACTGCCACCTGTGGACGGCGCAGGGGATGGACCGGAGAGGTGGGCCGCAGAGGCGGCATTTCCGGCGGTCCAGCTGGGAAACGGCTGCTGCTGGGGGACAGGAGGAGGAGGGAGGAGAGGAAGTTGGGGCTGGAGGTCGAGCTGCTGCTGGAGCTGCTGAAGCTGCTGCTGGAGCTGCTGGAGCTGCTGCCCATACTGCTGCGGTCCCTGCTGCTGGACACTCTGCTGCTGCTGCTGCTGCTGCTGCTGCTGCTGCTGCTGCTGCTGCTGAGAGGGGAGAGCAAAGGCCTGGTGGGCCTGGGAGGAGGAGGAGGGGGCGTAGAGGGGAGAGGTGCGAACATCGAGGGGAGTGGGGCGGGGATTAAGGGCGGACCAGCGAGGAGGGGTGCCAGAGTTCCCACGAGCGAACCACTCATCGCTGAGTGCCTTGAAGCACGTGTCAGTTGCATGAGTGGTTTGGTTGCAGCGTTGGCCTCGGGTGGGGCCATAGAGGGGAAGATACTGACAGGGTGGGAAGGCCGCTGCTGCCCCACGACCCGCACCACCACGACCGCCAGAGCCGCCTCGACCACCACCACGCCCACCTCCACGCCCTCCCCCACGTCCGCCCTTGCCGCTGCGCTGCTGTGCTACCGCGGCAGTGGAGGAGGAGTGGCGAAGGATTTCAGCCTCAGTGGTGATAATCCACTGGGCAACTTGAGCGGGAGTGTCATGCTTGGAGAGGAGTTGCATGTATGCGAGCTTGTGGGCATCGAAGGCGGGAGTGAGGCCTTCGAGGAGGTGGCAGCAGATGACAGTGTCAGGGTAGGTAACGCCAAGTGCTGCAAGGCGGCGAGCAAGATCAAGGACGCGGCGAGTAAAGGCGGCTGCGCCGGCAGTGGAATCCATGGTGATGGATCCAAATTCCTTGATGAGGGCATAGAGGGTGGCGATGTCCTGCCGGTCAAAGAGGTCGACAAGCAGTTGCCACAGGTGGGAGGAGGAGGTAGGTGAAAGCTCTCGTTTGAGGGAGGAGGGGATAGTGGCGAGGAGGATGGCGAGAGCTCGACGGTCAGCAATGCGCCACGCAGCGATGTCGGTGGTGTAGCTGGCGAGACGTGTAGTGTACGTGGCGAGTCGAGCTTGGTAATCGCGGTGGCGGGCAGCAGCCTCGTCGTAGGCGCGCTTGTCGTCCTCATAGCGCAGTTGACGGCGAAGGTGGTCGTTGAGTGCGGTGCGGTAGGTACGGATGGCAGTTTCCATGCTCTGAGGATTGTTGACATCCGGCGCGAAGGTGGGAGGATCACCAGGAGGCTCGGGCTCAGGTCCGGGCTCGTCAGGAGGAGGTCCGGTGGGGGCGGAAGGGGCGATGGGCTGGAGTCCGCCTTCCTCCTGGAACACGACGGAACGGAGGGTATATCCGCTGACGACAACCGAGGAGAGCAACACCTCGACGGAGTGGGCATAAGAGTGCCAGTTGGCGGCCGAGTTGTCGCCCAACAACTCGAGAGAGTCAATGGTCGCCAGGTCGACCGATGAGTCTGCGGACGCCATGATGGCGAAGTCGGGAAGGTGCTGCTGCTAGTGCCGTTGAAGGTGCCGCTGCTGGTGCCGTTGAAGGTGCCGCTGCTGGTGCCGTTGAAGGTGCCGCTGCTGGTGCCGTTGAAGGTGCCGCTGCTGGTGCCGTAACAGGGTGGCGCTGCTGGTTTAGGGTTAAAGGTGCCGCTGCTAGGTGCTGTTGCTGGTGCGATTAAGGGTGAAGTAGGGGGGGGGAGGAGGTAGGGGAGAGGGAGGATGGCGCGGAAGTGTGGGGCAGGGCGCGGATGAAAGGGGGGAGGTCGCGCAGGTCAGTCGCGGCGGCGCGTCGGCCGCCCGTGAGAGCGCGAGGGTCGGCCGCGGCTCTGCGTCGGCCGTCCGCGTCAGTGCGAGGGTCGGCCGCGGCTCTGCATCGGCCGTCCGCGTCAGCGTGAGGGTCGGCCGCGGCTCCGCGTCGGTCGTCCGCGTCGGCGCGGAGGTCGTCGGCGATCGCGCGGCGGCCGTTCGGGATGGCGCACAGGTCGGCCGCGACTCCGCGCTGGCCGTCCGCGTCGACGCGCGGGGTGCTCGTGGCCGCGCGCTGGCCGTCCGCGACGGTTGGCTGGCCGTCCGCGACGGCTTGCGGGCCGTCCGCGACGGCTTGCTGGCCGTCCGCGACGGCTTTCTGGCCGTCCGCGACGGCTTGCTGGCCGTCCGCGACGGTGTGCTGGCCGTCCGCGACGGAAGGCGTGAGGGAGGGGTGGCGGCGGGAGGGAGGATTGAGGCCGCGGGAGAGCGGTCGGAGGCCGCGAGAGGGAGGATTAAGGCCGCGGGAGGGAGGATTGTGGCCGCGGGAGGGAGGATTGAGACCGCGGAGGAGTAGATCTGAGCCGCGGAAAGCTAGATCTGAGGTACGGGAGGGAGGATTGAGGCCGCGGGAGGCTAGATCTAAGACGCGGAGAGGAAATTACGGCCTAAGGATCGAGGGAGGTGGCGTGAGCCATTTGGCTCTGAATACCATGATAGAATTCAAGAATGGTTGAGTAATGAGCCAAGGAGGCTCTATAGTACAAGCATGCAAGGAAGAGAGGTTGGAAGAAGGTGCAACCCTATTGGCCACTAAGTTGGCCAATGGGTGAGTTGCCTTGTGGAGTAGGGAACCCCACAATGTTGCTAGCTTGTGATTGGTTGGCCTTAGGACCAAATGTTGGCAAGTGCCAACCAAGGACCAAGACCAAACCAAATCTTGACCCAACCACAAAGTGTGGTTGGAGTGTACACCCAACCCCCCAATGGCTTAAAGAGCTACACCTATTCTAGCCTATGTATGTTGTATATATAAGATACATTTACAACACTCAGCCCTTCCGTTTTTTATTATCTGCCATCCACATCCCCTGTGCTGTATTTCAACCTCCTCTTTTCACCTTCCCTCCTTTCCTCCTTCCCGCGTCTCCCCTCTCCTCCCCTCCTCTTCTCCCTCCATGCAGCCAGATCAGCGGCAGAGAATGATAGAAGCAGTGGCAGCAGTGGCACCCCACGCCAGGACCATGAGGGCCTTCGGATCTGCGGTGGGGAATGGGGGAGGGTGGGGGGGAACTGGGGGGGAAGGGTAGTTTTGAGGGTTCTATTAGACTTAACTGGTGGCTGCAGTGGCAGCAGTGGCACCCCACGCCAGGACCATGAGGGCCTTTGGATCTGCGGTGGGGAATGGGGGAGGGGGGAGGGGAACGGGGAAAAGGGCAGTTTTGAGGCTTCTATTATACTCAACTGGTGGCTGCAGTGCCAGCAGTGGCAGCAGTGGCACCACATGCGAGGAGCATGAGGGCTTTTGGGTCTGCGGTGGGGAATGGGGGAGGGGGGAGGGGAACTGGGGGAAAAGGGTTATTTTGAGGGTTCTAATATACTCAACTGGTGGCTGCAATGGCAGCAGTGGCACCCCACGCCAGGACCATGAGGGCCTTTGGATCTGCGGTGGGGAATGGGGAGGGTGGGGAGGGTCAGGGGTGGGGAAGGAGGGAAGGTGGGGGTGTTGGGGACCGGTGCAAGGGGGGAAGGGGTAGTTTTGATGGTTGCAGTGGCAGCAGTGGCACCACACGCCAGGACCATGAGGGCTTTTGGATCCGCGGTGGGGAATGGGGGAGCGGGGCTGGGTGGGGGGGATGGGAAGGGGGCTGGGGAAAGGGGGGATGGGGAGGGAGTAGTTCCAAGAATTTTCAAAACTCGAATGATAGAGGCAGTGGCAGCACTGGCACCCCACGCCAGGACCATGAGGGCCTTTGGATCCGCGGTGGGGAAGGGAAGAAGGGGGCTGGAGGGGGAGAGGGGAACGGGGCTGGGGTAAGGGCGGAGGGGGGTAAGATTTTTGAAAACTTGAACGATAGAGGCAGTGGCAGCAGTGGCACCACACGCGAGGAGCATGAGGGCCTTTGGTTCCAGGGTGGGAAACTTGCATATGGGCTACATGGCAGCAGTTATTGACTCGACTAAGAATTCCCACCGTCCCTCCTCCACCACTGTTCCTTCCCAGGCCTTGCATACAAGCTACATGACAGCAAGTTTGGTGAGTCGACTAAGGAATCCCACCTTCTCGCTCCCGCCTCTCTCCCTTCCCAGGCTCTGAATATGAGCTACATGGCAGCAGGTCGGCTCGGTGCTTTCTATGAGGAAGGGCTGTTGAGGCACCTCAAAAGTCATCACCCCACCATCCCTCCCACCATCCCTCCCACCATCCCTCCCACCATCCCTCCCACCATCCCTCCCACCATCCCTCCCACCATCCCCCCCACCATCCCTCCCACCATCCCTCCCACCATCCCTCCCACCATCCCTCCCCTCCCACCATCCTGGCCCTCGGCGTCTCTCCCTTCCAGGCCTTGCATATGAACTACGTGGAAGCAGGTTGTTAAGTCAACTAAGTATTTCCACCGTCCCGCCCCCGCCTCTCTCCCTTTCCAGGCCTTGCATATGAGCTATGTGGCAGCAGGTCGGCTCGGTGCTTTCTTTGAGGAAGGGCTTAAGGTAAAAGATGAAGGGAAACATGCGTTTTACACTCTTATAATCCAGGACTATTGAAGAATAGACCCAACATTGTTGGCTCCATGCATGCTCGTTGAATCCACTCTTCTATGCTCGTTGTCATTGATGAGATGTCATTGTTTCCTTTCCACACCCCTCACCCTACCCACCTGCTTTACCCTACCCACCTGCTCATCCCTACCTACCTGCTTGTGCAACCAGCCTTGGGATGTGGCAGCAGCTCACCTCCTTGTAGAGGTATCCTACATGCCCCTCTACCCTTAACATGTGATTCCCCCTGTCCAGTTCACCCATGCAGCAATGCTCAGCCTTGTATTCCCCTGACTGTGCGCACCCATCTGTCATTTTCACTCCCACTCTGACTCTCTCCCGTATACAACATCTATCCGCGCAGCATTCTTTCTCTTCCTCTTTCTCTTTATCTGTCCCGTTTCTCCTTTCCCAAAAGCTCGTCTTCCCTCCCTTACACGCACAAAATGGCACACAAACATGTGGCTTCACCTTCCCATCTCCACCCAGACTAGAAGCGTAGATGAGGACCTTGCACCAGCAACTCATACTTTTGAGGCGCCTCAAAACCCAGACTAGATTTGAGGTGCCTCAAAACCCAGACTAGATTTGAGGTGCCTCAAAACCCAGACTAGATTTGAGGTGCCTCAAAACCCAGACTAGATTTGAGGTGCCTCTAAACCCAGATTAGACGCATACATAAGAACCTTGCACCAGCAACTCATACCAGGTCCACACACTGGGACATCACACTAGAACCACTCGCATCGCAACTCCTCCCATCTCGCCTCTCCTTGCTTATCAAACCCCTCAAATTTTGACCTCCCCTCCCTTTATCATGCTCTCCCCCCTGCCTCCTAAACCCCTGCCCCTTCACCCTATTTCCTCCCCTTTTGTTCCCCTTCCTCTCCATTCCTCTCCCTCCCCTCTCCTTCCCGCAAGCAGGAAGCAGGGGGTGTGGTAACCAGCATGGCTGGGAAGCCCCTCCTGTTGAGTGGGGGGTCTGTCCTGGCAACGAGTGGGGGTCAGCAGTTGCACTCGCACATCCTCTCACTCATTGCCAATGAGCAGCCGTGAGGTGATGTTGCTGCAAAGGAGTTGGCCTGAGTGACCAAATTTTGTCACAAGAAGCAGCACTTTGGAATAGCCCTTGTTTATAAGGGTATGATATCAGGTCCGTGGAGTGTATGGAGAAGTGGTACCACGTACCACCAGAATATTAAGCACTCTCTAATAATATAGTATGAAACAAGATGATGTGGAGGGATTTCTCAGCAATGGAGTTTCGGATATTCGCAAATTAATCAGGCTCTTACACATCATGCTTGAAGGTATTGTAAACAATGTGAAACGACGTTTGTATCGATATTGTATACAGCTGAGCACGAGCACAGTTGTTTGCTGGTGTCTTGGTGCGTCGGCGTCTAGGTTCGCGCCGACGCCAGCGTGTTACAGCTGTATCGAGGACCCTCCCACTTTACAGGCAACAGACATCCATTTCAAACCGCAGAATCCACGAAATCGTCGCTTCGTATCTGTTCGAAACAGAATTTCGCCCTTCCCTAATTTACAAAAATATATTTGTTACCACCTGCGACATAATCTGCCTGTGACGAAACCGTCAGCGACAGATTTGTTCGGATTTAGTTTGCTGCCCCGAAAATCGTGTCCCTCCAAGAGGCTAGGATCCTGAAGTGTCCCAGCTAGTTAGCTGGTTCACTTCCGAAAGATGAGGTCCCGGGATCAAATCCCCCCTGCGGCGTGTTCTGCCAGCCCCCCAGAAGGGGGTTAGGGCGTGTGAGGTCGGGTTTGAAATTCAAAAAAAAGTGCGAACTTTGTGTGGTTACCAGTTTCGCCAATGTCGCATAAAGCTACGAGCGAAACTTCGTCAACTGTGGGGTTGGCAACATGCGAACTGCAAAGTTGAACAAGATTCGAGTTTTAGTTGTGAACGTGCTTCGGCATGTTCACATTCACGTGTGTGATTTCCCGCACGTTCGAGCATCTGGCGAAATGTGCGAGCGACTCACGAGTAGCAACAGTACCACAACGAACTCACCACAGCCTTCGTGTACTGAATGGAGGCCACGTGGCTAGAATCGTGGCACGTTCACCCCATACCCCAACGACTCCAAAGCCGTCTTGACGGACCACTCCAAAATTCCCGCCAACCCCCATGCCACGTCGACCCAGCCACATTTGTGAGAATTCGCGCATCGCGCGTAGACAGTTCACATTGAAATTGCAACATTGCAGCTATCCCACTCCACCTAGAAGCAGCCATGTCCGCAAACACCAGCACTGGTGTCTCTGCCACACCCACGAATCCTTCCGCGCCAACAGCTACAACCACCGCAACGGCCGCCACCCCCGCCCCTACTCCTTCGCCTCACAGACGTCGGCGTGCTGCCGTAGATCCTGCTGCTTCCCGACGTCTCGACGTCATTGATCTGGACTCCATCGTCGCTCGTGTTCCAGATCCGAACACCCCACTGGGCGCCGAAGATGACACCCTTGCCTACTTCGATGCAGGCGAAGTAGACTGCGACATTGACAACGCGGCTGACGACGACAACGACGCGACGATGCAGAGCGACAAAAAGGGATGGCATGCGGAGGAAGTCATGCAGCTGGCATGGATCCGCCACGATTTCGACGAGCAGTACCGTAGCCTAAACCGCCTCCAAGGCCAGAATCGCGACGTCATGCTCTTCGAGCAAGTACGCGCTCGTCACCCGGGCTGGCGCCATAACCTTGCCGCCGTAAAGGCGAAGGTTTTCCGCATGGAGGCCCAATACCGAAAGGTGGCCGATCTTTTGATCAAACCCTCCGGTAAGGGTAAGCCTCCCAAGGTCCCCATTTTTTTCGACGTGTTTGACAGGTTCCTGGGCGACAGAGCGAATGCGCGCCCTCCGGCTCTCGCGGCTAGTTTACCTGGTGCCACGACTACCGCACCTCCGCCTGCCCCTCGAACGATACCTAGTAAGTATTGCTCAAACATGTATACGCGTTGTGCTATGTTTTTTTAACCATTACACTGCTGCAAACATTACAACATTGCGCCATTGGCGTCAACGAAACATTTGTAACAATGCACACCCCGCTCCCCCTATGCGACGCCCATCTATCCCAGATGTGGCGTCTCCTACTACCGCTTCCGTGGCGCCTGCTGGAGCGGATGCTTCCGCGGCTTCTCCCCGTCGCGCGCAGTCAACCCGCCGCTCGCCAACGTCCCGTGCCACAAGTGTGTCGCCCGGTCACTCGCCCTCGAGCTCTCGGCGGTCTGAACTGCCGCCAGCTTCGCTGACGCCCGTCGGGCTTCCCGCCGCTGCCACAGCCTCGGCGTCCCCTTCGCAGTCACGAATCGTCGGTGCGCACCCTGGTGTTGCGCTCCGCGGCGGAGGTGTCTCCCGCCGGCCTCGGCCTGCGCCTGCAGAGGAGGAAAACGAAACAGATGCTCAGGGAGATGGCAGCCGTACTCACATGAACGCAAGCGACTCTGTCTTATGCGCCGAAATTGCAGGAATCATTGCACAGTCGGTCAAAGGGGCTATGCGGGACCAGTTCGATGAGTTTTGGGAACGTACCCAAGACCTGGTTGAGAAGAATCAGGATGCCCGAGCCGCCAAGAGGCGTAGAAATACGCCGCCAAGCGAGCTCGACGACGGGTCGGAGTAAAACCCTCATCGTGCGGCGAGAAATGAGGCGCGTCGGCCACAGGGCCTTCGAGCCACCACGTGTTACGCTGGCGCGGTTCTTCCTGGCGGTGTCGGAAACCGAGGCACAAGTCAATGTTGTGAAGCACAATGCACGCGGCGACGACCTGGGGGGCGCGGAACGTGTCGCACTCGAGGCGCCCGTCAAGAATGCGCCACTTGGTCTTCAGCCGCCCGTTCACCTGCTCCACGATCATGCGGGTACGGGACTGCTGCAAATTCCAGACGTGCTGCTCGTCGGGAAGCGCGCGACCGGGAAGGGCACGATAGGGGGTGTAGATGTAGGGCCTTAGGCCGTACGCAGCGTCAGCCACAATAGTGTAGTCTAGAATCCCGCCTTCTTCGATCTTGATGCGTGCAGGGCTGTTCATGAACACACGAGCGTCGTTGACGCTTCCGGGGTAGCCAACAAAGAAATCCCAAATTAGGCCCATGCTATCACAAATAAGTTGGCAAATAATTGAAAAAAAGCCCTTTCGGTTTCTGAAATCTTCACAATGTGGGCCCATGCCGCGGCAATGTATGTATGTGCCGTCCATGGCACCCACAACGCCAGGAATGCTTGCTTGTATGCGAAACTCGGTCTCGAACAATTGAAGCATGTCCAGGTCGGGCCACACGACCCACTTGGGCAGGAGCACTTCGTTGATGAACCACACGAACTGAGTGAACAGTTTCTGGGAGTGAGAGTAGGAGTAACCAAAGTGTAGCCCAATTTCTCGAAAGGTCAGTCCATGACCGAGCCTGCTAAGACCCATGGCGACGAACACAAAGTTATGCACCGGGTGCCTAGTGGTTGCAAAACGGCTGCGCTGATACTGGCGAACCAAGTAAACAAACACACGTTTGTCGACGCGCAAATACTCATAAAAATTGGTCTCGGGCAGGGAGGTTATCAGACGGAACCACCGCACACGTGCGTCAAGCCGGTCGCCACGCACAAACACCCGAGTCTGCCTCAAAGTGTAGGCAGCGACAAGGGTGGGAAGAACCGCGCCAACTGCGTTGAGAACGGGAAGCATGACCAACTGGAGGTACCCCTGCCACACGATGCCCAAAAATCGGACGAGCTGGAGGATAGTCATGTTTGGGGAATGACGAGAGCTCCAGGTGGGCGACAGCCTCCGATATTTGTACCCCCGAATTGAAGTTGAGCTGGAGGTCTATGCTATCCGAAACCGAAGCGCAAGTCGGCCGCGTGGCGCACTGTCAAGACGTCTGAACCGGGTAACCTACTTTGTAGAAATGCGGTTCGGTGCGTTTTTACAAGTTCGAATACGCGCACTCGACCTTGTATATGTGTGTGCTTTTCTGCAGTGTTGTGGTCCAGATGTGCGAACCTCGCTACAATGAAAGTCGAGTTTGGTTCGACATATGTTCATGTAGCACAACTCGCCCTTAAAATGTAAACTTCCCGAAATTCCACCGATCACACGCGCCCTTACACAGGTGCTCATCTGGGAGTGGATAGAACAACCTCGTTGACCCAGCGAGGAGTGTAAACAAATGGGG